TGGTAGGAAGGGAAATGCCATGATAACTTAGATAACTGCTGTGCTGAGTTAGAGTCCTCTGCCTCTTTAGCAATGTTTATTTTCCATTATTGTTTGGAAAACCCATGAAGACATGCATGGAGATGATAAAACGCCATGCTGTGATATGCTGTGTTGGCTTCTGAGACTGTGGTGTAACCAGAATATGTATGTGATGAATGTTCAGCTCCTTCCTCATCCCGCAGAGACACTCAGACAGAGGCTCCCTCTGGGGTGCATTTATAGCAGGGGAGGAAGTGCGGTCTGCATGGATTTTTTTTGTTTGTTTGTTTATTTGATGGTAGAAAGGACTTACAGCCTCAGAACATTTTTTTTTCTTTTTTTTTAATTGTTTGTTTGTTTCTTTGCATATGCTCAGTGTTGTTGCAACTGTGTGTGTTTCAGAAAACTCAGACAGCAGCATTGTAATCATTAGTTTCCCTGGCTTTTGTCACAGTGATAGAGAGGGGGCATTTGGTGGCTCTGTCAGTACTGGGTCAGGCTAGAAGTGAACACACATGCTAAAACTAGCTGAGTAACGCTGTAGTGTGTATGTATTAGCTCTAGGGCTGACAGACCGGGCTGTTTGCTAAATACTTTTTTTGGTTCGGTAACTTTACCTGATGAGTAATCTGCCATAGCACAAGTGATTCCGAGCAGTGGAGAGCTAAGGGCAGTGGGGCTTCGTTTGTGAAAGCTCTGTCTCTGCTCGCAGTGTTGGCCAAAGACAACTCGTCTGTCTGGCAAGAGCACTGCTTCGCAAGACGAGAATCTTGATCCTAGATGAAGCGACAGCTGCTATCGATCTCGAGACAGATGATCTTATCCAGATGACAATTAGGACCCAGTTTGAAGACTGTACAGTGCTGACAATAGCGCACAGGCTGAACACAATTATGGATTACACAAGGTAAAAATCTTTTAATGGTGTTGGAGAGGGGGAGGCTCACCAGTTTACTGGGTATCTGAAGCAGCACTTAAAGGGTCTGGCTTGTCTCAAGATAGTCACACTGATGCTCCTGTCAGGTAGGATGTAAGCAATGATGTTTAAGCCATATAATCCCAGAATATCCAGACCCAGCTTTGCCTTTGTTGGCGTTAAGAAACAGGTTCTACATTCACTAACCAGAGCTGCACAGGAGATACTATCCAGTGACATTAATGGCATTGTCAGCAAGCTTATGGATCCTTTTTAAACTAGCAGCTGCTGTAAATTTTTCACTAACATCATGTCATATTAATTACTTCAAAATATATTGCTATACCTCATGAGCTTTTATCTGCTTGGCTTTCTAGTACTATATTTTCAATTCCAGAACTACCAGTATGATGCTTTTCCTCCCCCCCCCCTTATTACCCCTGGGAGATAGTGACTGTCCTGTACCTTTTTAAATCAAACAGCAGCTCAGGGAGAATGTTAATCATCTGTTGTGTTTCAACGTGTGAAAATAATTGAGCAAAACAAAGGCAAGATAAAGATTAGAGCAGTTTGCTTTGTGATAAAAAGGGATATCACATTTCTTGTGAGGAATTCTCTTATCTTCCCTCCCCCCACCATCATCTTTTGTTTTGCACAGGGTTCTTGTTCTAGACAACGGAACCATAGCTGAATTCGATACACCTGCAAGCCTTATAGCATCAAAGGGTATTTTCTACAGTATGGCCAAAGATGCTGGACTAGCATGAAAAGAAGACCCCGGGGTTTTTGGTGTGTTTAGTTTTTTTTTTTAATATTACTGACTTGCCACAAAAGTGACTTGTGAATGTACTGTAACTTACAAAACAGTTTTTCAGTAGACTAAACTTGTGATATGTGAACAAAGTATTTTACAATTACAAGGACCAGAAAGTGAATTTTATATTTTTAAGTATTTTCTATATACATAAAGTATTTTATTATGTGCTTTTTTTCCCAAAGAATGCCAAACATTCTGCCAAGAAAATACATGTATCGCAGGGCAATATGTACTGTATTCAGGTTTATAATTAGTAAATTATAATAATGGTACAAAATATACCTGGTTTGTGTGTTTTCTGCATAAGGATTCATTGAAGGGAAAGACAGGCCCAGTTAAGCAGTGACTAAGCTGAAAAACAGTGAAATAACGTGTAATCTCTGAGTAGTTCCAACTTGTTCCTTTCAGTATTTCCCCCAGGACAAGGGACTTGAATGCTATGGCTTCAAAGCTGTGAGCTATCCCAGGACTCTTGGTATCCCTGCCCAGGGCAACTTTAGCATTATAAAATTCCTCTTCAGCATAAGAATTACAAGTAATGTATTTAAAACTAAACCTACAGATGGCTTAATAAAAATCATTAACTACACAATTTCTACCAATGTAGTAGGCTCCACATAAGCCTGCAGGGACATGATTGTCACAGGAGTATTATGTATGAAGTCACTATGAGTAAGACTCCACTTAAGCGGAACGTGCATGCTGAGCAGATGTGTATATAATTTATCTCATTCAACACTTAATCGCCTGAAATAATGTGTGATTTGTTTTGCGGAAATAAATCTCTACCTTATCATAGATAACCTAGCCTCCTCAGATAAAAGGAGTACTGTGTTTAAACAGTATTTGCTGCCAGAATCCGATAGAACGTCTTTTGCTTTCGTTGTTCACTTCCTACACCAAGTGCTCTAGAAACCTAGCCAGCAAGAAGTGGTTCCTATGGTTTTTTACCACAAGTAAAGTTCAGAAAAACTTTGAGAAGAAAAAAATTATCATTTATTAATTCTTATAAATGATACTTATTAAATAGAAACAAGAATCTGCAGCCAAGCATTCATTTGACATTAACATTTCATATAGCAGAGCACAAAGTAATGAATTATTTATCATACACAGTAATGTAATGATTATACACTGATCAGATTGTTAGGGGTGTTAGTATCTTCTGTGTATAAACTGCATAAGGTATAAAAATATTCCTCGGAATGCATAGATAGCGATCAGCATCTTTGCAAGATAATATCAGTGTAACAACGAAGTCATCAGCCCAACAGCTCAGCTTTTCTCTAGTAGGTCTGACTGGTTAATCCTGGTACCTTCATGGATTTAGCTGGCGTTTAGACAGCTGATGCCTAAACCATGTATCTGTTCTGTGTGCCAGGGAGAAGGCAACAGACATCACAGTGTGATACGAGGAACAGCAACTGTATTATTCCATTATACAGAAATTAATATACCACCAGCAATTTGGTATGAACACCAGATATTGCCAATGACGCGGACCTCCTTGACCTCCAACCCTTTTCAGAAGAGGCTTTTTGGTTATGACAAAATGTTCTCCTATTAGCCATAGGAGCCTGAGCTTCAGTCTAGTTAATTGGCAGACAGGAAATTTGGGTGTTTGAATGAATCTGTCCTTCCAGGTGAACAGTGGACCTCCGACTACAAGGTGGATTGGGAGAGGGCTCCCTCCTGTGTGCTCAGCCACTCCTGCTGAAGCTGCTTCCCTTTGCACAAAGTACTTATGCACTGGATGAGAAAGAGAGAGCGTGGGTAAATTTGGGTACCAAAATACCTATTGTATTAGCTGGAATCTAGGTGACTGCTCTGACTGCAGGGGAAGAACAAACTTCTTTACCTGCCGCAGCCTCCGAGAAAGGAGACGAGGCTGTGGTGGAACCTAACTCCTGTCAGGGGAAGTCATCTGCAGCCATAAGAGAGTTTCAGATGCAGTTCTCACCTCAGCATTTCCTCCAGCTGTTTTGGGTGGCTCCCTGCTCAGCAGCCTACGTCTATAAATCCCATTTACGGGTCCACATACATTGTATGGCTAACTTGGGCTGGAAATGCTTAGACAAGACAACAAAAAAATCCTTTGGTTGCTGTAGTTTCCCAAGAAACTGGGGGAAGGGAGGGGAAAGATGAAGAAACAGAGGGAAATTCAGTCCAATTTGGTATGTTCTGTTTGCCTGTTACATCTCATACTTTAGTTCGTTCATCTAATTCATGGTACATACTTTTACAGTCAGGCTACCAGAATAGAACACTTCCTCAAATGCAAATGACTGAGTAAATACTAAAATCCTAAAAAAATTGATAAAATCCAGCTTTTAAATACGTTCCAATTTATTTATTCCAGAATTTCATGGCAAAGTAGTCTAGTTCTGAATTTTAAGTAACAGGAACAGGAAAAGTGATTTTTTTTTTTTTTTCCAGTAAACAACATGGGTAAACACAAGTCATTGGGAAAAAAAGAAAATACATTGCATAGGAACATCAAGATTTAATACCAGCCCAGAAAACCCTGGGCATTTCACTAGTTTCTTTTTACACAGGCAACTTTTTAAAGGTTCAAGATGCAATCTTTCTCAGGAATGTAGCAGTAAAAGGAAAATAAAATTACAATTTTTGTGCTTTTATAAGGGAAAATTAAAGCAGCATTGGAGAAACGTGATGTCAATACAGTAACAAAAATAGTATTTTAAATTGCACATGTCAATACTATATATTGATGGACAACAATAAAAGGGATTTTGGTTCAGAGCATATTTATGATTTGAATAATCACTATCACTTTTTATTTTCAACCTGAGAAATAGGGAAAAGTGTAAACAGGGATTAAGAAATCACAGGTTATAAGTCACTTGATAGTATTTAAACTAGACATGGTTTTGTGCTTCTTCCACAGATTTAAACCTTTCTGTTTTTTTTCCTCCTAAGTAAGATATGACTTAAAATATACAAGCTAAACAGTTAATGTTAATAGTAATGGACTCAGTACAAATATTAAACGGGTTTCACGACAGGTTCTTTAGCTTGAGTACCTCTGCTATTTTATAGCAAACAAATTATTAGAACAGCTTAAAGTAAGCCTTTCCCTGAGAGCTGCTAACTCTGCAGCACTTCAAGATTATCTTTTCATAAGCAAAAGTGTTGCATAACAGATAGTTCTACTAATACTTCCTTTACATTAAGCTACTTTCGTATCAGACTCATTACTCTTAGATTAACTAGAGGCTGTAACTGTGCATAACAACTTTAGTTTATTTCAAGGTTAACAAAATAGATTTTTTTTTTCACATCATTAGCCCTTATAGATACTGTATTTCAAACGTAATTTTAAAATGACAGATACAAATATTTTATTTTTTAAACAATTAATATGTAAGTTCTGATGCCTTCTTGTTATAACCACTCCGTTCAGAAAGTGTTGGGACTCTGAAAAGTAAGTTTTTGTCGCTTACTGTTAGGACAAGCTCCAGCTCTTGGAAATCCTGTAGCCTTGCAACATCTTTGTCCTTTAAATAAATAGAGTAAGTTGTTAGGTGATAAACCATCTGTTCAGTTTTGCAGAGGTAAGTTAAAATAATAGGCTCCTCCTAACACAAGGTATGTATTTATCCATAAATATGACAATTCTTTACAGTAAACTGGAAAGCAAACATCCAACTTGTATTTATGCTGGGATCCTATTCAGCTACTCACTGAAGTCTATTTTTAGAAGGAATGCAACACTGATGGTGAGTGCAAGTGATGAGTGCAATTACACTTGGAAAGATCCACTGCATGCCACCCCAACTCCTCTGTTTTTCTCCCTTGATAATTCTTAAGATGCTCATGAATTGATTCTTGCACCTGCCCAAGAAGGTCCTGCGTGCAGCTTCCTCCTGAGCAGCCCACCAACACCATCATAGAGCTGCCTTTGCCAAGGTCTTTAGAGAGCAACAGAAGACGCCATCCCACAGTACAGCTTGAGCTCTGATCCCCTCTGCAGCAGTACTCTGCTGCTAAACAGCATTAAATAGGATTAGTTTGGTATCACCTCAAGGAACAATAAGTGTCCTGCAGTCCTACCCAGACAGCCTGAAGTAATTAGAGCTGGAAATAAAACCAGTCCTTTCAACAACAACCTAAGTTGGCAAGTGATAGAATTGCTTATGTCTTCCCCCTCCCCGCCACTTCTTGACTAACAAAGAGTAAGTCATCTTATAGTCAGTGAAGATGCAGTACAGCGAAGTCTATTAATCTAGTACTAATCAGATTAGCTCCACAACTGATGCCAACAATGCTCTAGAGGGATTTAAGAGTGAAAAAAAGGTCAACGGTGAAGCAGTAAAACAGGTCAGCGGGTCTGTTTTCTGTTTGCTGCAGGGGTAAAAGTCACTGAAGAGAAAAGACAGTTACATTCAGAGACCTGCACTCAGAATAATTCTGGAACACCTTTCTGGCTTTTGAAAGGACTGCATACAGACCTTATGGAACTAGCAAAACTCAGCTGAGTACGGCAGGCCTTTTAAATGCTGATGACAGGTCACAGCAGTGTGGTATTGCACTGAATTTAAGAATGTAGTAGAGAAATCAGGTATTAATTGGGCTCAACACCAAATGCTTATGAAGGGAAATGATCAAGAAACTTGAGGACATTTTTATTAAAAAAAAAAAAAACAAAAAAAAAACTGAAGGCAGGTTTTTTGTCTTGTTCGGGATGTTTTTGGTTTGGGTTTTTTTTTCCAACATGGGCCTATGCATATGACCAACAAATTATTCCTTTTTAATGGTAACCTAAAAATCTTTTTTATAACTTAATACACTTCAGAATTTAGAGTTCTTACCTTTCTTAACATTGTATTTGGTAATTTTCTGATCTTCTGTACATGCTCCGGGTTAACACCCAGCTCATGGCAACTCACTCGTAGCAGTTCCTTATAGGTCAGTTCTTGTCTGTCCAGTTCAATTTCAATGAAGTCATTTTCTCTAAGATTAGGGTTTTGTATTCTAACTTTAAGCACCAGTTCTATTAGAAATAAAAAGGTACATTAATAGGCAGATGCATAAAGGAATTGGAAAAGATACCTCTATGCTAACTTCCAAATATTTCTATGTTCTAGTAACTTTGTTTGTATCACTTCTAACAATGTAAGAATCCTCAGAAAGCAAACAACTGGACTTGTATGACCACAATTTTCATTGGATTGACTTTCATCAACCTATGTGAAAAAAATCATTACAAATCTAATACAGTGTGTGTATGCATGTATGAACTCTTGCGTGAATACTCATCTTACTGGATTTAAGGTAACTTAAAAGGAGATTATACTGATTATCAATTTCCTCAGCAATCCAAGATTGCTTTTATTGGTTTTTGATTCTTTTGGTCATCAGTTAACTTCTCATTGCTAATTCATGGCATCAGAACACCTTTTATTTCAAGAATGACATTCTGAACTGAAGCTGAAATTCCAGATTTCCCTCTTTGGGCAGGCAAAATTTACCTGCAGAAATGGTGATAGTTCACCTCAGGACTCAGGTCTGCAGATTGAGCCATGTGAGGTTCTCTCTCGAGCCCACTGGCTGTGTACTCACGTTCTTTATTGGAAGCTTGGAGTATGCTATGTAGAGAATTAGATTACTCTGGTGTCTGTATGCTTTTATAGCATTTGAGACAAACAGCAAATATTTTCATGAATATTTTAATAACAGTTCCAGCAGAAACAGGGTATCTGCCTCTTTAATGCCCCTGAAATGTTTCCTGAATGCCTGAGCACGGGAACCTGAAAATCTGTAGAAGTGTTGTGAATACACATAACCCTGATTAGTTTATCTTCACTGTCCCAAGATGACAGAAGTTCTAAGATAAAGCGAGAAGAGACTTTTACTGTTACCTTGCATATTAAGTGGAAAAGCTCCTGTGAAGAAAACCGGCTGAAATGCTGGCACAGGCCCCATACAGGAGCCATTCTCTTGCTGAGGTACAGACTGATTTGATCCAGCTGGCGAAGGAGGACTTCTGCTCCAAGACACAGATCCCTGGTAAACTGGACCTCTCTGAAGGACCGATCTTGAGTGTGGTGGCAGAGTGCACCCTCTGGGCAGTGACGGTGTGTCTCCATTGTCACACGCCTCGGGAGCAGGGTTCCCATGCCGTAACGGTGCACATCTGTAAGTCTCCACATCAGGTAAGGAAGAGGAGTCGGTAGCTTGTGGTTCTAAGTGCGAGAGACTCCCATTCACGGAGGGGTCTGGAATACTGTTACTCGTGGTGTTATAAACATAAGGGAAAGGTGGGTTAGCCAGATAATTAGGGATGATTGGCAGATCGGAATCTTTCTTTAAGTCTGGGAGTTCATCATCTTCCACTGTAAAACAAACAAAACAACATTTTCCAAGACTGATTTGAGAGGGGGAAAAAAAAAAGTATTGCTATGAACCATGGGGTTTCTTTTTTTTATGGGGAGGGAGTGTTAAAAGCATCACAGGTTAAAAGATGAGTCAAGAAGCACTACGCCTTTTTTTTGTACAGTAAACAGAACCATGCTCAGGTGTTGCAATACAGTCAACACAAAAGCAGAGTCTGATTCTAGTAATTCTGGGGGTGCTATTTCCTTCTAAGAACTGCAATACTTTTCTTTTGGTTTGTTTTGTTTTAATCTGTAGCCAGCAGGTTTTAACATGGTCTCTGGTGGTATAATGCTATCGTCTTCATAATGTATAAGGCAATGAAACACAAAGGGTAGTGTGTTGTTCGATATTAAGGCAGGGGCTAAAAGGAAAAGAACAAGCAGTACTGGGAGAGCTGAAACATTACCAATTCAACAGCTGGGAGACAATAATGAAAACAAAACCAGACAAGGGAATACAAAGGGGAGGAAAGAGATTGTTAATCGACCGTATTTCAAATTACTTATCACCTCTAGCAGCAAAGCCTACTCCATTCCATCGGTTACAAAACATGGTAAAAATGCTCTACCAATGTCTCTTAATGAGCTGTCTATCTGGGCTGCTAATTTTCAATTTATTCAACACATGATCTAAGCTCCATAGAACATCAGGAAAATTAGGTGTTGCTCATATAAGGGCTTCATACAAATTTGAGAGATTTTTCTCCTGTTACCCTTTTGAAAATAGGAAGCTGCATCTATCTGTCACTAGTTTAATCATGACATTTTTCAAAACACAGTTTTTCTAATTTTTCAGTGTTTAGAAAAAAGTTTGGCTAGCTGGATATGGAATTTGTTGGTAATCCTCTTTTCTTAAACTTCGATTTCTTACCAAGGTCATAGTTATTACTAAAGTATGAACACAGTATCTTCACATGCAAAATAAAGATCAGAACATACATGCTTTAAACAGCCTTTTACTACAGTCTTTGACAATCATATCGCATAGCCAACAGGTTTACCTCCCAACATCTTCCTTATCTCTCTTTTTGACGTTAATTGGGCCGGTCTTTCTCCTTTCTTCGTGAGGATCTCCTTGTCAGCACCGGCGTGCAGCAGGTAAGCCACCACTCGAGCATGGTTCCGTTTGCATGCCCAGTGCAAACAAGTCCTGCACATGGGAAATGTTAACACTGTTTGAAATCTTAAATTGGAGATTAATTTCCACTCATTCTTGCTGCCTATGAGAAGAACAAGACCTAATGCAGGTCTAACATAAAAAAGGTTTTAATTGCAATCTTCCTTGGAAATTTAGACTGGTTTTGGAGCCTGCAGTGACACCTGCTGATGTAGTTTTCCCTTGCTCTAATGCTCTTGATACCAAGTTACAATAGTAGTATTTTTAAAGTTCAAGATCTTTTCAATTTGTCATTTATTAGGCTACTAACTTTTCTGGAAAAATAAATGCAAGAAGGCAGCTTATGTATGCTATTTTAATCTTTGAAAGAATAAGTTGTAGTGAAAGTACTTGTGTGTGGGTGTGTGTATGTAAGCTAATAGGGATACTTCCCTAGGATGCTATTTCTACTCTTTCATTAATGCTGTCAGCACAATGACTTGCACTTTTGGGAAAGTAAATGATGTTTAAAATATTGTAAGCAGTTTCTAAGCACAGTTCTTTGCCCAGTTGCTATTCGCTGCACCAGCAATTCCCAAGCTTTGATCTGCAGCTAGTTAGTTTTCTGCAATCTGTAACTGATGGACAGAACTAATCACTTTTCTATGTTTTTAAATTATTATTTGCAGTTGTTGACCTAAAGAGACATAGTAAAACAAGCATCCTAAGAGCTCCTGAGCTTATTTAGTGCTTAGTATTAGGGACTTAGACTCAACCATTATAACTTGCTATTACAGTCTTATCATTCTTCCCTATCCCGCATTCTAGTGATGTTTGATCTTTCTCTAGCTTTTATATTTTATTTTAATTCTCTAGGTCCAGCTGAAGGAAACTCTTCAGAAAAATGAACACACTTAACCCTTCTCCAAGTTTATTTATTTATTTTTAAGAATTAAATAAAGCAGAGATAAATAATAAACTTAAAATGGAAAAAAGTTTCAGGTGAAAGTCCAGCTCCAAAAAGTTTTTTTCCATTTTTATTCTTTTTGGCTTTGTTTTTGGTTTTTTTTAAGAAAGAGATGCAGACATTAGACTGCAAAGTTGTATCTTGACCAGTAACTCCCATCTTTGTATACAAAACTCTGCTCTTTTAAGTTTTCTTGTGTAGAAGTATGTAAGGGAGAAAAGAGCGAATCTGATCTGTGGAGGGATACAACTCAGGTAAAGCCAAGAAAAGACAAAGTAACTTGTAAAACCTTGTTAATTGTTACACATTCTGACTTAATTAAACTCATCTTACCAGAAACAAAAGGCTCAATTCTGCAATTTCTTCTTACTAAAATTAATACATCTTGATGGCAGAAAGTATCTCTGAATTAAAGGTAATGGGACTAGTCACTGCAGCAAGAGGTTATGTAGAATTAGATCTAATTGAAGAGACATGAATGTAAGTGTATGTATACGTACTATTTTTTTCTTCATAGACTATCCTAGGAAGGGTGCTACAAAATCTGTGTTTCAGAGGTGATACCGCTAGCAATATTGTAAAATCCTGTATTCTCTCTCCAAGGCTGGGCTGTGCATTTCAGCTAGAAAGTGCCATTTTTAAATGGGATAAAAGAATTTTGTCAGCAGAAAATATTCCTGAATTTTTAACACCAAAGATCCTGTGGAATCTGAGACAAGCTCCATGAAAGTCAGACTAGGTTTGCTTAGTTTTTCCGTGCAGTTTTCTGGACTTTTCACAAATATCTCCTTGTGAAATGAGTGTGAATAGCCTGCACGAATTCAGAAGTAGTGCATTGCCAAGTCATAAACTCGTTTGGACCAAAGTGGTGGGAAAAGGCGCAGACAGCGTGGCCATGTTTGCTCTGAGTACAAAATCTGCCGGTTTACTTTGTAGAGAAGGCATGCAAGCCTTAATAGCATTGGCCTCATTTTGGGATCCATCCTGACCATTTCACGTGGTCCCATGCAGAGAGGTACCATCTACCCACGGAGCTGACATGCATCAAAATGTAAGTGCTCAGCACCTCTTAGCATCAGACATACTAAGAAGCTCACTGGAGAAATTTTAATTCTACAAGCAAACTTCAATAACAGCACAGACCCATTTATTGCCATAGTTAAAAATGACCAGATCATTATTTTAAAAATTGATTATATTTTATGACAGATTTCTTTCATCAGTTCCAGTTTTAGATACGAACTCATTTTGACGGCAGGCAGTGGTTTATCTTACACTCTAAGATAATTCAATGTCTTATGAATCAGTTATCTGAAATTTTTACAAGTTCTAATTTTAATCAACACAATTTGAAGCTCAAGTTGCAAGTGTCCCATGCTTCTCAAAATTGCTGATCAAACTTTTGTCTTTGAAAGTCTAGCTCCTTTCCTAATTTTGTTCTTCCTATTTTTAATTACAACTTCAAGCACAATACAGCACACTAAATACAGGCTGAACTGAACTTACACAAAACAGTCTCCAAAAATGCCTGAGCATTCCAGGTAAATCCTGCTTCAAATAGCATTTTCTGTGTGTGTTCATGTATAGAGTCCCACTTGTACAAGTCTCTGTCACAGAAAAGCCTTGGCTTTAGTGTGGTCAGGTGGTATGTGAATGAGATGTCAAAACCACAGCGTTTATATATATCCCTGAAACAGCCTGCAAGTTCCCTGCTCGAAAGGGAAAGTTATTTTCAAACTTGATTTAAGAGTTAATATAAAATATTTCTGTTTAGGCCTGAACACGTGCTGGCAAGCCGAGGTTTGTGTTTTGACTGCCCGTGCCCTTCAAAAAAAAAGGAAAAAAAAAAAAAAGCAATACACAGTAACGACATCGGGACCTGGGAAAGCACTAAAGAGCACAGGATCCAAGCGGGAGGTGGGAAGGGGACGCGTGTTGGTACCAGCGGTTGTCAGGCGCATCACCATGATTTCCCTGTATCTACACCGAGGAGTATTGGGCAGTGGATCGACCTTTTAGTTCTAAATTCGAACTGATTTGTGTTTCACGTGAAAGAGTGAACCCACGGCAGCGTTAGCACTGGAAAACCTGAGGAGAAA